TTTCAATCAGATTGTTTTTTTAATACTGAGTTTTATGGGTTCTATATATATTTGGGATATTAACCCCTTATCGGGTATACCATTTGCAAATATCTTCTTCCATTTAGTAGGTCGTCTTTTCATTTTACTGATGGTTTTCTTCACTGAGCAAAAAGCTTTTTAGTTTGATGTAGTCTCATTTGCTTATTTTTTTCTTTTGTTGCCCTTGCCTGAGGAGACAGATCCATAAAAATATTGCTAAGAGCAATGTTGAAGAGTTTACTGCCTGTTTTTTTTTTTCTAGAATTTTTATGGTTTCAGGTTTTACATCTAAGTTTCTAATCCATTTTGAGTTTATTTTTGTATATGGTGTAAGAAAGTGGTCTCGTTTCATTCTTTTGCATGTGTCTGTTCAGTTTTTCCAATACCATTTATTGGAGAAACTATATTTTTCCTTTTTTATATTCTTGCCTTCTTTGTCATAGCTTAATTGACCATATAAGCATGCAGGTTTATTTCTAGGCTATGTCTTCTCTTCCATTGATTTAGATTTCTGTTTTTTTGCCAGTACTATAATGTTTTGATTCCTATAGCCTTGTAGTATAGTTTGATATCAAGCATTGTGATATCTCCAGCTTTGTTCTTTCTCAAGATTGCTTTGGCTATTTGAGGTCTTTTGTGGTTCCATACAAATTTTTGGATTACTTGTTTTAGTTCTGTGAAAAATTCCAGTGCTGTGTCAATAAATATTGCATTGAATCTCTAGGTTGCTTTGGGCAGTATGGACATTTGAACAATATTAATTCTTTCAATTCATGAACGTGATATGTCTTTTCATTTATTTGTATCATTTTCAGTTTCTTTCATCAGCATCTTATAGTTTTCAGAGTACAGATTTTTCACTCCTTGACTACATTTATTCCTAGGTATTTTATTCTTTTTGATGCAATTGTAAATGGGATTGTTTTCATAATTTCTCTTTCTGATAGTTTGTTATTAGTGCATAGGAATGCAAAAGATTTCTGTATAATGATTTCATATTTTACAACTTTACTGAATTCATTTATTAGTTATAATAGTTTTTGGTGGGGTCTTTAGTTTTTTCTATATATAGTATCATGTTATCTGTAAATAGTGACAGATTTTCTTCCTTCCAAATTGGATGCCTTTTTATTTATTTTTCTTGTCTGATTGCTGTGGCTAGACCTTCCAATTCTATGTTGAAAAAAAGTAGCGAGAGTGGACATGCTTCTCTTGTTCCTGATCTTAGAGGAAAAGCTTTCAGCTTCTCACTATGGAGTATAATGTTAGCTGTGGATTTGTCACATATGGCTTTTATTATGTTGAGGTATATTTCCTCAGTACACACTTTGATGAGAATGTTTATCATAAATAGATGTTGAATTTTGTCACATGCTTTTTCTGCATCTATTAAGACGATCATATGATTTTTATCCTTTGTTTTGTTAATGTGATGTGGCACGTTAATTTGTCGATATTGAACCATCCTTGCATCTCTGGAATATCTCGCTTGATTGTGGATTATGATCTCTCTAGTGCAGAGGTGCTCAATCTTTTTGGCACCAGGGACTGGTGCTCCTATGAGAATCTAATCCCTCATGATCTGAGGTGGAGCCGAGGTGGTGATGTTAGTGCTGGGGAGCTGCTGCAAATACAGATGAAGCTTCGCTGGCTCACCCGCTGCTTACTTCTTGCTGTGCAACCCAGTTCCTAACAGGCCACCGACAGGTACTGATCTGCGGCCCAGGGGCTAGGGACACCTTCTTTAATGTATTATTGAATTACGTTTGCTAATACTTGGTTGACGATTTTTGCATCTATGTTCAATGGGCATATTGACCTGTAATTTTTTTTTAAGTGTCTTTGTCTTGTTTTTGTATCAGGATAATGCTGGCCTTGTAAAATGAGTTCGGAAGTGTTCCTTTCTCTTCAGTTTTTTGGAAGAGTTTGAGAAGGATAATATTTAACTCTTTTTTAAAATATTTGGTAGAATTCACCTGTGAATCTATCTGGTCCTAGATTTTTGTTTGTTGGGAGTTTTTTTGATTACTGATTCAATTTTATTACTTGGAACTAGTATGTTGAGATTTTCTATTTCCTCCTGATTCAGTTTTAGGAGATTATATTTTTTTAGAATTTTATCCATTTCTTCTAGGTTGTTCAATTCATTGGCATATAATGTTTGTAGTAATCTCCTATGATCCTTTGTATTTCTATGGTGTCAGTTGTGACTTCTCTTCAATTTCTGATTTTATTTATTTGAGCCCTCTCTTTTATCTTGATGAGTAAAGTTTATCAATTCTGTTTATATTTTCAAAGAACCAGTTCTTAGTTTCATTCATCTTTGTTATTTTTTTTAATTTCGATTTTATTTCCACTCTGATTTTTATTATTTTGTTCCTTCTAACTTTGGGTTTTGTGTTTTCCTTTAGGTCTAAGGTTATATTGTTTGAGATTTTTCTTGTTCCTTGAGGTAGGCCTATATTACTATAAATGCTGCATCCCATAGATTTTAGATCATTGTTTCCATTTTCATTTATCTCAGTGTGTTTTTATTAATTTTCTTTTCGATTTCTTCATTGACCCATTGGTTGTTTAATAGCATGTTGCTTGACCTCTACATGTTTCTGTCTTTTCTAATTTTCTTCTTGTAATTGACTTCTAGTTTCAAACTGTTATAGTCAGAAAAGGTACTTGATGTGATTTGTTGTTCTAAATATTTTAGGATAAACGTCGTTCTTTATCTTGTTACAGTCTTTGTTTTAAAATCTATTTTGACTGATGTTAGTATTGCTACCCCAAGTTTCTTTTTGTTTCCATTTGCATGGAATATCTTTTTTCATTCCTTCACTTATAGTCTGTGTCTGTCTTGAGAAGTGAAGTGAGGCTAATTTAGTGGTGATGAACTCCTTTAGCTTTTGCTTATCTGGAAAACTGTTTATCTGTCCTTTCATTCAGAACAATAACCTTGCCAATAGAGTATTCTTGGTTGTAGATTTTGTTTTGTTTTGTTTTGTTTCAGCACTTTGAATATATTGTGCCATTCCCTTCTGGCTTGCAAAGTTTCTGCTTAAAAATCAGCTGATAGTCTTATGGGGGTTCCCTGGTTTGTAACTAGTTCCATTTTTCTGCCTGCCTTTAAGATTCTTTATCTTTAATTTTTGACATTTTGATTCTAATGTGTCTTGGTGTGGACCTCTTTGGGTTCATCTTGTTTGAGACTGTGCTTCCTGGACCTTGATGTCTTATTTACTTACCCAGGTTAGGGGAGTTTTCAGCTGTTATTTCTTCAAATAAATTTTCTGCCTCTTTCTCTCTTCTCTTTCTAGGATCTCTATATTGCAAATGTTAGTATGCTTGATGTCCCAGAGGTCCCTTAAACGATCCTCATTTTTAAAATTGCTTTTTCTTCTTGTTGTTCAGCTTGGATGATTTCCACTGTTCTGCCTTCCAGGTCACTGATCTGTTTTTCTATATCATCTAATCTACTGTGATTCCCTTGTGTATTTTTCATTTCAGTTTATAGTATTCTTTAGCTGATTAGTACTTTGTTATATTTTTTCTTTGTTGAAATCTCCACTGTTTGTTCATTTCTCTCTCAAATTCAGTGAGCATCTTTATGACCAGTACTTTGATCACTTTATCATGCTGATTGCTTTTCTTCATTCATTTAGTCCTTTTACTGAGTTTTTAGCTTGTTCTTTGGTTTGGAACATATTCCTATGTCTTCTCATTTTGCCTAATTTTCTGTGTTTGTTTCTATATATTGAGTAGATCGGCTATGTCTCCTAGTCTTGAAGAGGTGGCCTTATGTAGGTGATGTCCTGTGGGGCCCAGCAGCACAATTTCCTCTGGCCACTAGAGCTAGGTGTTCCAGAGGTATCCTCTGTGTGGGCAGCATGCACCTTTCTGTTGTGGCAAGTAGTGACTGCTGCAGGCTAGCTGCATAGACTAGTTGAGGTGTAGTGATCTGTGAAGCTTTCATCAGAACAAATGTTAGAAGGAGAATTATAAAATGGTGTTAGAAGGCTAGAAGGAGAATTATAAAATGTAATCTGCTACTACCAGCGATAGCATGACCGAACTAGATTGTAAAAATGGCTACTGCCGTGTTTTAGATCCTGCTGCTGCTTCCTGCCTCACTTTAGGGCATTCCAAGATTAGTAAGTGGTCCCCTTTACCTGTACTGTATGTGCTTTTCTATCTTGGTGTTTTCTCACTGTTTTTCAGTTCGAGTGAGTCTGTGCATGAGCTCTTTAAGAGCAGAATTTCCTTTCACTGCAGTTCTATAGTTTTCCTGGATGTATCTTCTATTGGTTTTTTAAAGCCAAGTGTTTGGGCGCTCATCTGTCCTCTGCACAATCTAAGGGTTGGGATGGTTAATGTGGAACTTGAATCCCTCACTCCTCACGATCCCTTGAGATCCCTCCACACTGTGGAACACAGTGGCTGGGGTGTGATTTTTTTTTCCCTTGGCGGGGACCATATCTCTCCTACCCTTCTCAGTGCTGTGTTTTCTTGTGGAGGCTATGTTCATCAAGTTTCTATCTTGAACTCCCTCAGTCCCTTAACTATACTAGTTAGCTGTCGTAATTATCCCCATAACATGTTCAGAAATATCAATAGCCTATAATTATAATAAATCATCTATTAACAATAAACAAATGGCATGGGAAGTTTTTTGAAATACTTACTTCCTGATCATTCTAGAATAAAACTGACCCTCTTGAAATTTACTCTAGAAAATCATTTACTTTGAATGATTCTAAAGAAGACATTTTTGAAAATTTTCTGCAAACACTGTTTTAACTTAAAAGGGATATGTAGTTATTTTTGTCTTTACCTGACTCTAAGTATTTAAGTAATATTGCCAATATATCCTAGGTCTGATTGACCTTTACCCTTTTGCCAATTCTCATTGTACCACATTCTGTGCTTTTATTAGTTCTTCTTGTTTTAAAACAGTTCTAAAAAAATAAGTATAATATTCTTCTTTTCAGAGTCAAGGTAAATCAGTGCCAAATGGTAGTTGTGTTTCACCCAGTCATACTCCACCACAGTCCAATGCTTCCCAGCCCCCAAAACAAGCCTGGAGGCCCCTCAGTTCACAAGGTCCTGCTACGTGGGAAGGAGCCAATAATTTGGTGAGACTGAGAATGTTGATTGTAAATACATTTAAGTTTGGGAGAAAGAAATGAGCCGACTAGATCTTATGTGTATTTTCCCTAGGATGATGAAGAAGAAGAAAAGGAGCCTTGTGTGATTTGTCATGAGAATCTCTCTCCAGAAAACCTCTCTGTTTTGCCTTGTGCTCACAAATTCCATTCTCAGGTAAACTTATCTTTTAAATATTTTACCATTAATCAACTAAGTGAGATTCATGCTGCCTTACTTGAAATCATATGCATGTATCATTATCCAGTGTTTTGTCATGAATTCCACTGGATATAATGCTGAGCTTTGGGCTACCATGCAGAAATATTTATATTGTTTCCCAATACCTAGCCATGGATTTCATTATGCTTTTTCAGATCTCTATACACCTTATGGGAAGGGGACTACAGTGGTATTTAAATGGTAAAGAGTAGGCAGTTCCCTTGAATACAACTGGGAGGAATATTGATTGGCATGGCAGTTCAATGGCAGTTTGGCAACAGTGCTCCTGCACCTTAATGTGCTATAAATAACACATAGTGTCCTTTGTCCATACCTAATGACCTTGGTATTCTGTCCAGGATCCTATATTTGCTTTTGAAGCTTTTCAGACTTGAGTTTTAATGTTAGAAAAATGTGAGGCTGTCATATCTTCTTTTGATTCTTGGCATTTATATAAATTAACTCCTAGTGTTGCTGCTGTGCAGGTACTATTGATATATAATTTATGATCCTAGTCTTCTGCTGCAGAGATATAATTTGACACAGGAAAAGATAATCTTACACAAGAAAAACTTCTTGGATAAATGAACAGTAGTCAACTCATTCAGGCCATATCTGTAAAACAGCATTTCATAGATATGTGGTACATGCTACACAGAATTATATTTTGCATCTACACAGAATAGCTAATTTCAAAAGATCTCCAAGATAGATACTTAGTTACCCATCTTTCCCATTTGAAATTTTAAAAGTCCGATCCATTTAGAAAATAAATGTTTCACAAAACTTATTTTATTCTTTGTCATTACCCATTGAATAGAATGCAGGTAATTTATTCAGGTTATTTTTTGGGTTAGAATTAATGAGCTTTATATTTTGAATCCTCTCTCATGTGACCTGGCTCTCCATTATTCATACAGGTAAAAATTATTTGTTTTTGGAAAGTCAGTATTCAAACAAATGACTTAATAGATAGTTACCATCCAAAGAGCACTACTCTTGTCACCAAAGAAAGAACAACATGAAAGGTAGATTCACCGTCTAGGGGTTTTAACTTCAAAACACCATTAGCACTTGGTACAAGGTCTTGGTGAGTTTTGTATGTTTATTTATGACTTTTTCTTTATTATGAATGAGAACAATATATAATAAACTAGAGAAAAAAATATAGCAGGTTTTTTTAACCTCCTTGTTAGGAAGAACTGCTAGTCATCCTGAAAATTGGAGTTAGGGGAAGGATCCTAGTAGAATAAACTGGCTGAAAGTTGTTCCACTGTTACTCAGCAAGCCATAGTGAAGGTGCCATGATTGTAGTGGTTGGCTTGGCAATCCTCCAGATAAAGGCTTTAAGACTCACCGATAGACAAGTTGGTTGGCAACTCTGATGTATAGATTAATAGCTGCCTCTCCTAGGCTGCATCTGAAAGACTGATGTGAATCTTTTTGCTCCTTAGTGCATTAGACCTTGGTTAATGCAGCAGGGGACATGTCCAACCTGCAGGCTCCATGTTTTGCTACCAGAAGAATTTCCTGGTCACTCCAGCCGGCACTTGCCCAAGATCTAATATAAGGGGTGACTATGCAAAGGAGTTTCAACTCCATAATTTAGTTTTGCCTTTTGTTACAAGCTTATTGTGTGAGTGGTGTGAAAATGTACACTCCTCAGTATTGTGCAAAAGAAGTTACCTAATCTCATCAAAGCTGCAGCCAAAGAGGACAGGACAAATCTTCAGGACTGTGAACTGAACTGAAAAGGCTTAAAGAAGATAGAATTTTAAAGGTTACATCATATTTCCCTTACCTTAGTAGGTATTTTCTTCCAGTGTAAACATAATAACTGTTACTGTGTATCTTAGGATGTCTTTTCTTGTGTTTTTTCCTTATTCCACTCACTCTTTACTTTCCCCCATTACACTACATTTTAAATTTCTGGAATAAATTTAAGCAAGAGAAAAAGTGAAATAGTAAATAAGAGAAGTAGGAAAGTTCCACAGATTTTAGTGAGGTTTTTTTACTTTTAAAACTGCTTACAAAAAAATATATGTAATTATTTAAATTTTATCTTGATCTTCCCCTTTGTTTTCTGTTCTTTAAAATATATACCCATGAAGAGATTATGAGCTACTTGAGGGTGGAGACCGTATAGTGTTTTGTTGTATCTGGCTTATAATGGCTTGTGAGAGATGATTGTTAAGATTTCAGGAATTTTGTAAGCCAGTTATCAAGTTGTTGGTAGCTTGAAATCTGCCATAGTGGGAGTATTTTACCCCATCGAAATTAGTAAGTACTATCTATAATTAAATTCTTCTCCTCCCCTCAAGAGCTGGTTGTTAAACATTTAGCAGCACACCACTGAGACCACATCTAATCTTCCTCTGTGCTCCCAGTGTCTTGCCCATAAATATTGGTGTAGCATAAATATTCCCAGAATCAGAAGTAAGGAAAGGAGTCAGTAGTAAGAAAAAGAGTTAATATGCAAATTAAGTCACTTGTTCAGTTTAATAATCGAGATCCTATGTTAATTTGTAAACATGTTATTTGGATCTTAATCTTTTATACTTTGGGGAGATTTTTTTTCTGTCTTAAGTTTCTAATTTCATTTTCTGATGCTGGGGAGTGTGGGGGACTATTTGTATGTAGTTGCTTCTTGTGACAAAGTTGGGCTAAGCTGTGTATCTAAAGCTTGTCACTGAGAACTTTAATTCTTAGAAGTCAAAAACCTATTTTGAAAATAGTATTGTGTAAATGCTGTAAGTGTTGTACATGTCTCTAGTTAGAAAATTAAAAGAGTTTAGTTACCTCGTAAGACAAATATTACTTGTTTCATATTTTTCCCATAATTAATGAGACTGTGAATAAGTGTTTCCTTACTCAGCAACTGTTTGTTTCAGTGTAAATGTATCCTGAAGTTATTTTAAATCTCTTTTTAAAACTGCTATTTATGTAATTGTATGCTAAATGTTTTCTTCTGTAATGAGAATAGACTGGAAAATGTGAAGGAAATATCTAGAAATGAAGGCAGTCATCTAAGACACATAAAATGCCTAGAATATATCAGAATTGCAAAATTCAGGACTTATGGGCCTTTAATAATTTTCTTGTCTAACACTTCAAGGTCATGGTCATATAGCAAATTACCTTGTAAAACGAGTTTCTTAGTTTGTGTTTAAACTGCAATTTCAGTTTCATGTGAGAAAGAATAAATGTTTCTTAATTGAACACCTATTTTATCTGTGCATATGGGTTTAAATGTATCCTGAAACTACTTTAAATCTCTATTTCAAAGTCTATTTCTGTTTAATTGTGCTTAAACTTTTCCTTCTGTTATGAGAAAGGATAAGAAAATATCTAAGAAGAAGGCATTTCATAAGATGTCTAGACTTATAAAATGACAAAAATGTCTTAGAATCATAGAATATCAGACCTTGTAGGGTCCTTAATGATCCTCTAGTCTATCCCCTCATTTTACAGGTACATCTTGCCCAAAGTCATGCGGCTAAATAGTGGCTGAGGCGGTCTTAATACTTGAGGGTCCTAACACTCAGTCACATGCTTTCTTCACAAGCTCATGCTGCAAGGTTGTATTGGTGCTGACCTGCCCTGGCTCCAGAGGATGGAGTCAGAGGACTTAACACCATTGCTGATAATATAATGAGAATGTAGTAGTACCGTGCCCTTGAAGGTCATTGCCGGTGCTGTCGATGCTGAAGATGGGATTGTTTTTTCGTTGTTGTTGAGGTGTAATTTAATAATATAGACAACCATAGTGGTCATTCTACTATAAACAGTCATCACTTTCATTCCTGAGAGTATGAGAGATCCAGAATACCATCCTGCCCAGAACTCCGATGTGGGAAGTGGTGATACATCAAAAACACCTAGTTGTATCACTGCAGCTGCTGTCAGAAGGATATGTCTTGTGTTTTTTTCTTTCATATTTATTGTCCATGTATATAACATTATCCAGCTTTTATGAGACACTTTTAGATGTATTTATTACCTTATTTGATCCACTAAACTCGGAAGTAGAGATCATCCTCTTACTTTACAGATGGTGAAACTGAGGCTCAAATAAGAGGGAAATACTTTGTCTGAGGTCACATCTACAAAGTAGCATTCTGGGATTTAAATGCAGACCTTGGCTGGTGTTCTCTTCCAAGTACTTCACAGCTGCGTCCCCGTATTGGATCGACTTTGTGAACGCAAAAAAGTACTTCTTTTCCTTTTAAATAATGTTCTTAAATAATATTCAAAATAAAATGAAACAGATGGTAAACCTACTTATTGTTTTAGACTAGGAACATGGATAATATTGAGTGTATAAAAATATGTAACAGTGGTAGGATATGGTAAGAAAAGCTTGACTGACTTTTCTCATAAGTCTTGGTTTGCTTGTGATGAATCCAGTTAATGCCTGTTGTCTTGACATAATTATTAATAGTGCACCTTTCATTTTCAACAGTGTTCCAGTCTGGATGATGGATTATATCTTATGGTTAATTCAGGGAAGGTAGGCTTATTTTTTACCATATTTAATTTAGCAAAAATTCTCTGCATTCATAAAATGCTCCTGGAGTACCTTATCACATAGCCTCTCAGGTAAGAATTCTAGGACTACAGTGGCTGAGGACTATTCAGGTTGATATCCAGATAAAAATAAATGAATACAGTTTGTCATGAAGATATGTGATTTCTGAATTTCTTGAGTAAGCAGTTCTCAGAAATAATGGGCTCTTATTCTTAAGAATGGATTGCAGGCCATATCACATTTACACAATATGTTTATAAAAATGCATGTTCCAAAAAGCTATCTGAGAATCTGCATTTGCATGCTAAATTCGAATATCATTGATGCGAAAGTGACTTTCTCAAGCAGATCTAGATTTGAATTTTTGAATTCCATCTCTGGCATGTTGTATGATCAAAAACAAATTGCTTAACTTTTCTCAACCAAATCCTTTTCTAAAAATGGGGAAAAGACTACTTGCTGACAGTTACTATTGTTAATATATTAGCTTTCATTCCCAAAGTAGCAGATCTTCCATTAGTCATTCAACAAGGAGACATTATTCTAATTCAGAATAAAGCCAAAAATTACAGTACTCTTACTTCTAGGTTGATGGTATTTGATTACTTTATAAAGGCAAAGTATAGATGTTTCACCTTTTCAATTTCAAACATCATATTGGTGTTCATTTAGAACATGTCTCCAGGGCTGTATCATTTTCTTAAACTACGAAATTTTACAACCACTATTAGGATTCCAATATCACATAACACCATGCAGTGTGAATAATCTGTCAGTGTGCTGTCTCAGCTCAGGAAAAATAGCAACAGTCATGGGCCTTTGATTCTCTCTTGAAATATTATATGACAAAAGGAAAGGCTAATTACAAACTGCAGCTATGAAGTTTGTATTATTTTAGTTCAAGAATGACTTTTCATTCTAATGACCTAAGACAAAAGCCATTCCTTAGCAACTAAATAAAGGTGCTGCACTTTCTTTGCAATTTCAGTTAAGGAAAGTGGATCGTTCTAATAAATTATAAACACATTTACAACATTATCAGTTTATTACAAAATAAACCTAATAAGAAATTCAAAACAACTTGTATTTATTGGACATACTTTTTTAAACAGCTGGAACTTCTCACTACCCTCTGCCCAGCTCTATCTTTTGTCGAGAGTTGATATGCTCCTTGAAGCCTTAACAATAGCACAGATCATTGTGAGTGTTTATTGAATGTTTGTGACCAGAGAGTACTATTTGGAGTTTGGGGTATATCAAGCATCATAGGACAAGGCTCTTGCCTGAAGGAGCTCAGTTTTGAGTGGAGAATAAGCATCTCAACCTCTCAAGACAAATAGCATTGTAATGCAACATACATTCAGTGCCTAATAAATCTGACAGACAAGTGCTATTGTAAGAGTTTGCTCATTGCAAGCTGGGGGAAGCAGAGCTGATTGAAAATGGAAGAATGGAACTGGATTCTACCTCTTCACCTGGAACATTCTTTTTAGACTACCAGTTTCACTCTCTTATTTCAGCCCTCTGCTCAAATGTGACCTCAGTGTAGCTTTCCTTGACTGATGTAATAGACCTCTTTCCCACCACATGTACCATTTTCACCTAGTTATCTGAAATTCAGTTTACTCGTTTAATGTATTTCTTGCAATATAAGATTCATGAGAGCAGGAATCTTGTCTGTCTTGTTTGCCATTGTGTATCCATTGCCTAAAACATCTGACACAAAGCAGATATTCAATATCTGTTGGGTAAATGGGCCTTGTGAACCAAGTAGAATTTATATGAGGACAGAGTAGTCATTCTAGGCAAGGACAATGGCTTGAAAAACAAGTTTTCCTTAGAGAATTCTTTCTAATCATGGTCTATATATGGCTTTCTCCTCTCTCTGTGGAGATTGCAGTAACACCAGGGATAATGATGATGTCCTAAAGGACAATGCAGATGATTGGGCTTGCCACTATTAGCAAAATCCCAAGTCAGCTTGTAGCCAGTGAGCTTTATCCTGGGCCTGCCAATTTTCCCTGAACATACAGAATAAAACTTGTCAAAGAAGACTTGGTTGGGTCCCTAGAAATAAAATTTTATAAGACATGACAAAAGCATTGATAAGACTTCCAAAATATTTGGCTTATTTGGTGGGATTTTTCAAACAAAAGAAAATAAAAATTATGACAAAGGAGGAAAATAAAACCAAGGTGTAATTTATTAAAGTTTATGAAAATTTCTTTCTTTCAAAACTATTTTGACAGTTTACTTGGATTTCTCCCCAGCTATTGCTTGATGAGTAGGTATCTGCCAATCTTCTCTCCTTTACCAGACCTGAACACACAAGATCTCATAAAATTACCAAAAAGCCACGGAAGAAATTACAAACCTAAGTGCTTTTTATTCCTTGTCAGCACCAATACTGCCCAGTCTGTACCATAAGACTAGTCTCTGTGGGTTAACATGAGCCTGCATTTCTTTCTTTGAGATAGGAGTCAGACAGGATCTTTTTAGTGTGCTGAATAATTAAAGCTCTATCATAGTAAGGAGCAGCCACCACAGAGTGAGGCTGCACACTGACATATTACAGCTTTGAGAGAATTTCACTAAAAACTATTTTGAAAAACAGTTCATTTCTTTTAATAGTATATGTTTTTTTTCATTAACAAAGTAATGCACAGTAAATTTTAAACTACAGAAACATAACAGAAAAAATAATACATCACCACCCAAAGTTTTAGCCCCTAGAGTATTTTCTATTCTAACTTTCATGTATATGTAATCTTATTTTTAAATTTATATTTAATGTAAACTTATGTGCAAACATAAGTGATAAAAGATTTTGAAGATCACTCAATTCCTTGCTCTAATCTACTATTATTGAACTTTAATTCTGATCCACATGTAAATGATTATGGGGAGGTATAATTGTAGCATCAGTACAGTTTTTCAATGTTGTTTTGTCATTTGTCATAGTAAAGAAAATCCTTCTGTCACTGCATAAACAAAGGGATGAAACCAGTACACCCAGAATTATAATTTTCATGCTCTGCTAGAGTCATCCTTACAGCTCCAATCCTATTACCAATTCTAGTCTTTGATTTGAGAAAAATATTTTTTCATTTGTTTTCTTAAGGGGTTATTGGCGAGAACTTCATTCTGTTTTTAAAATATTCAGTCTAATGACACAATAATGGAGTTTAATCTTTGTCTTATACAGTTTTTCATCTCATCTTTATCTCAGTTTCTTTAGTATCTTTAAGGCCCAAGCAATGCTTCTTTATCTTTGTGTAATTGATTTAAAATGAATTAAAGTATGACAAGTAGGGTTTGAGTTTTTCTTTTTATTTACTTAATTTTGTTTATACGTTCTTGCCAAATTGTTCTTTGTCACCATTTCTTATATCATGAAAAATAAATGGATTTCTTCTAAAACTGTTGCTTTGATTTAAGCATTACTGTATACCCGTGTTTTGACATATTAGGATATAAACTGGAAGTATTTATTAGAAAGACTCATTTTAAAGTGTTATAATTTTACCTGTTAGAGGAGAATTGATTTTAGAGATAATAAAATAACCAGAACTTAGGGTATCAATGTACTAGACAAAAAAACCATTAAGAAGCAGGACTGACATTCTTCATACATTTAAATTTTAGGGTTTTAAGATTATTAGAAAGTTCTTAAGAAGGAAACAAAATGTATTTAAAA